CCGAGTGCACAAATTTTTGTGCACCGGGCCTCTAGTCTATATATATAAAAGGCTAATATGCAAAGTGTCCCCACGGGAGTTCGACCGGGAGTTCGATCGCTTGCTATGACATGTGCTGACCACCAGGGGGTGGTGCATAATGAAGGAAGGCCCTGGCTGGCAGCTGGGGAAGGGAGGCCTTGGCCAGCCCTGATTGCCTGCCAGGCCTAGGGACCCTAGCCATGCACGAATTTTGTGCACTGGGCCCTAGTTTATACATAAAAATGTATATGTGCTTTTATTTGATTCAGGTCTCTGTCCCTGATTGGGGAGTTAGTTCCATGAAGACATGGAGGGACAAGCAGATCTTGATAAACAAGTGTGAATGGATAAACAAATTAATGAGATATTCTTAAATTCTTAATATCACATATAAAAATCACACAAATGCAGAGAATTTAACATTTCACGATCTCTTGTAATTAGAATATGAGCTTATCATCAAAAACCTTAATGATGGCAACCCCAACAGCATTTCACAGAGTGACTGATTAACCCAGCCAGTTCCTAACTGTACTGATCTGCAAAACAATATCACCACATTCTACGACTACTAGCTCTGGGGCTTATTAAGGGTTACATTTTTTTTTCTGGAGAATTCTTTTAGACAGGTAGAGGTTACTAGAATGATATGATAAAAACTATGAATTTGCAATCATGATGAAATTAAACAGAAAGAAGTTCAAGCAATTGTTTGAGGATAATGTAGTAAGAAAACAAAAATAAATAAATATATTCTACTGACCTTGCGGAAGCTGAAGCACCCCTGTGCTAATGCCTGAGACCAAGTCACCCAACACATACTCCTTGAATTTGTATGCTGGCAACCACTTAGTTATGGGTAAGAACATATAAATGATATTTCTTATTTTCTTAGGAGTACATCTGGGAGGACAAAAAAAAGACAGAGAAAAAAATGAGTAACATTTCTGTAGAGTTTGAATGAAGGCATTTTCCTTTCCTTTTATCCTGGAATGGTAAGGAAGACATTCCCACTGGTGCTGCGGATAAGCTTTCACTCTGCAGAGATCAGAGACAAGAAGAGCTGTTCTTGCAATTTGTGTTGTGGGGGACATCTAAATCGGCTCCATAATAATGCTCTACAACTGACCATGAAAAAGAAGAAGAATTTAGCTTCAGAATAACTGAGATAACTCCGAAGCTATTCTTTTAATAGATACAATCCTTAATGTACTTCCTGTGTTGGTATAAAAGCGAAGTAGGGGAATTATTTACTGATTGAGTTAACTTTTGAATGTGGAACCAATGACCAGCATCTGCCCATTAGTTTTCCTCTTTCCTTATAAAATCAAGGAAATTTATACAGGTATTTTGAGTTTTATTAACATATGTCCCTTGCTTTAGGGTCTTTGATTCGGTAAACTCAAAATGCCATTTGTCACTGGAGTGTAATAGCTGAGTCTATTATGTCTGGTTGTCTTGGTTAACTGGAAGACCAAGCTGATAAAACCAAGGCCTTGCATTTAATCCCTGTGGGCCTTGGCCAATTTTTTTGCCAGGCTACGCCAATGATCAAAGACATCACTGAGTATCAGTACGGACAGATGAGTTCCATGGCCACAAGGAAAATTTTAAGTGTTCCCGGTGACAAGGAAACAATTTGTTCCATTCAAAATATATTATTGCAGCATGCATGGTATTTTTATATAGTATCTTTAGTGGTTAAGAGTATTTGGCAATTTGATGAAGGAAAATATTAGAAGCAAAATGTGAGGCAACTGTGGTAAGAGCAATAAATTTGAGTAAAACAAACTAGATTTGATACTTTGTTTTGAGAATTGAGATATTAACAATAGTCTCACTTATATAATACTTGCCATATGCCTAATCCCCTAGTAACTCTATGATGTAAGTACTATTATTATACCCATTTTACAGACCAGGAAACTTAAGCACATAGCTGGTAGGTGGTGGGACTAGGATAAAGCTCAGGGAGTCTGACTCTAGTGCAAACATTTTTCACCTCTCCTGAAAGGTGAAGCTTAAATGAACACAGAACACAGAAGGTGTAGTGTCAAGGGTTCCGGAGGCAGTAATCAAATGGTTTGGTTTTGAAGTTTGGGAGCTATCAACAGGCACACATGTATTGACATTCTCACGCCTGCAACATGGCTGTGTTCGTGTCTCCAAAATTAGGAGTCACAGGACACTGAGGGTCCTTGACAGCATAGGTTGGGGATTTAGATTCAGGGTTTTGCCAAATGGGGTAGAAAAAAAAGAGAATGGCTGGAGCATTCTGAGAGACAAAGGGAAAAGGTGGATATTCTGAAAGTGGTGGAGAATTGGAAGTGGGTTATTTACAGGAACCTTTACCCATAATCCCCAAGGCACAGCAGGAATTCAATAAGTATGGTGAAATACATAATGAAGCGCGTGCTCAATCAAATATCTATCACGGACAACCCTGTGGACAGTTCAGCAAATCAGGAGTGCTCACCATTTTTTCCCCTCCATTTCACCAGATTTTCCTTATACACTTGACCTTGTTTCTCTCACAAGTGAATGACAGAATACAGGAAACAGGTTAAAACACAACATACGTGAATGCCTGTTTTAGCTTATCCCCAATGGAATCCGGAATCTTGTCCTTGGTGTGCAGTATTTCCTGGAGGGCCAGATGACTAAAGATAGGCCTGTCCACATAGTACTTCTGGGCCGCTGCAAGGATTTCAGTTTCTTCAGCATGATCCATAGTACTCTGAAATTATTCACCAACAGCAGGAGACAAGCATTTCCTGAGTGTCACTAGGGAGAAAATAAACACTCTATTTCAGATGCCAAAATCCAGTTGATGACTGTTCTTAAGCATCTCTTCCTTGCAGTATTCTAAGTTCTGAATGCTTCATCTTTGGACACCCCAGAGCACCTAACACAGTGATCTATACATAGCAGGCACTAATAAATGAAATAAAATCAATAAAAATCACCCCCCCAAATCAATAAGTGGCTCATTGACCAACCACAGGGCATCATGAAAAAAAAAATATGCCTAGGTCCAAAGAGGTTGAAAATTCAAGAGTCTAAAATAAAAAAGAATTCTAGCAGCAAATGAAACCAAGTACCAATAAGGATGATATGAAAAGATTAGTCTGGAGAAAGGATTTTTGCAGCAGAATCTGACAAATAAAGATTGTATGTTTTTGTTTTGGGCTAACTTTTTAAAAAATATATATTTCCATTGATTTCAGAGAGGAAGGGAGAGGGAGATAGAAACATCAATGATGAGAGAGAATCATGGATTGGCTGCCTCCTGCATACCCCACACTGGGGATCAAGCCCGAAACCCAAGCATATGTGCTGACCCAGGATCAAACCATGACCTCCTGGTTCATAGGTCGATGCTCAACCCAAACCATGCTGGCTGGGCTGGGCTAACTTTTTATGGCCACTCTAGGGATATCACAATATCCAAGAATATCTGGATATTCTTGTATGAGCGGAGTTTGACACATGGCAATGCTACCACTCTGCCTTCTAGCTGCCCCCCACTCCTCCAAAACATCACATGACAGTGTTGTAGAAATGTTTGTAATTCAGGAAAATACCAAGCTTAAAGTCCCATTCACTCTAAGAAATTCCATTTCCTTCCCTCTCACTCTCCTTCAATTTCCCCCACACACTTATCATTGTAGCTTTCAAAAGCCTGGTTTTGTTCTCTGAAGTCTCCCCCTCACCTCTAATCCTTCATAGATGTGTCTATAGTTGCTACTTTGCATAATTTCCCATTTTTCTCCCACTGTATTACAATTACTGGTCTCCTTTTCTAGACTGTAAATTCCTCCAGGCAGCACCATACTCTGAATTCCCGGGATCTATCTCAGTCCTTGTTTCCTAGCAGGGACTCAGGAATAGCTGAATGAATAAAATCTTTGGATTGGTGCCTCATGATTGTTGATAATGTAAGCCAGGCTTCCTCTCTGTTATATCACAGTGCAGAAGGTTAAGTCTATTTTAAACACTTTTACTGTATTGTTCCTTTTGGACACATCCTCCTTGGTCTTCTTCTGTCCTATTTTTAGAAAGGTTATTCCTTCCTCATAGAGCCACTCAAAGAGAAATAGACCAGACAGAGCTGAGGGGAATCTAATAAGAATCAGACTGTTTTTTTTTTTTGTTTCTGTTTCCATGTTGCAAAAAAGTCAGCTTTACCAATGATTTTGCTCTTAACACACATTTATTGTTGTCAATGGGACAAGTAGTGATGACCACTGTCTAAGGATATTGTATCATCTACAATGCAGTGGTGACCAAACCTGGCCACTCACTACAATCGTCTGGGGAAAGGTTTAAAGTACTGCTGCCGAGCCCAACTGGTGTGGCTCAGTGGTTGAAGGTCAACCTATGAACCAGGAGGTCTCAGTTCAATTCCCAGTCAGGGCACATGCCCAGGTTTTGGGCTTGATCCCCAGTAGGGGACGTGCAGGAGGCAGCCGATCAACGATTCTCTCTCATTATTGATGATTCTCTCTCTCTCTCCCTCTCCCTTCCTCTCTGAAATCAATAAAAAATATATTACAAAAGTAAGAGTTCCTTCTTATAAAAAAATAAAGTACTGCTGTTGAGGCCTCACTCTGACTCTTCTGAATTAGGATTCCCATGGGTGGGGCCTGGACAGTGGACATTCACTCCATGTGGGTGTAGGTATGCATCGCTGTATCACTGTATCCATGTGTGGTGACTTTCTTAAGATTTCAGAGCAGCCCTAACCGGTTTGGCTCAGTGGATAGAGCATCGGCCTGCGGACTGAAGGGTCCCAGGTTCGATTCCAGTCAAGGGCATGTACCTTGGTTGCGGTCACGTCCCCAGTAGGGGGTGTGCAGGAGGCAGCTGATCGATGTTTCTCTCTCATCGATGTTTCTACCTCTCTATCCCTCTCCCTTCCTCTCTGTAAAAACTCAATAAAAAATATATTTAAAAAACAATAAATCCCTTAGGTGCCTGGCAACCTAATAAGCTTGCTATTAAAAAAAAAAAGATTTCAGAGCAACAGAATAGGTTTACATTGTAGTATGTATAATGTAAATATACATACTATATAGTATAGTGGAGGAAATAAGATATTTCTAAAATATTAGACATCCTCTTCCTTCTTCTACCCTCCACCTAGAACCTCTCAAAATTCTTTTGACTTCATTAAGCAGAGCAATTAGATGTATGTTTTGAAAGTTCCCTGGGAAATTCAGATGATCAGCTAAGGGGGTATTTGACGTATATAAAAATACTGGCTTTCAACTCTGCCTGAACCCAGAATCTTTTAGAAAACAACAGATATCAGAAAACTTTTAAGAAAGCATCCTAAGAGCCCCGGCCGGTTTGACATAACAAATCACAAAGAAACATTTGAAAACAAAAGCCAATTATATACTTTTCGAAATAATAATAAATCAGTGACATGATTAAAGCCATATGAGATCCTTTAAAAAAAGTAATCTTTATAATAGATGATATGCTAGAACATAACATAATAAATATAGTAAGGGTTAATATAAAATGCTTACTGAAAAGCACATGAAATAAATTTTGAAGAGGAATTTGAAATATAAAGGCGTGATTTAGCCGTAAAAATGGTGCTTTGAATTTGACATTTTAATTTAGGGAATTGGTCCTCAGGCCTGGCTGCACAGGGGAATCACCTGGGCAGCTCTAACTACCACTGATGCCCGACTACAGCCAGGGATTCTGATTGAATTGGCCGGGAGGCAGGCAGGGATTGAGAGCTTAAACGCTCTCCGCAGGAGTCTAATGTGCAGCCAAGACTCAAAACTGCTGACTTCGCGGACGGCAGGATGAAAAGCCACACTCACCCAGTACGCCACAAGTCAATTCTTTTTCTTTTTTTTTTTTTAATATATATATATTTTATTGATTCTTTTACAGAGAGGAAGGGAGAGAGATAGAGAGTTTGAAACATCGATGAGAGAGAAACACCGATCAGCTGCCTCTTGCACATCCCCTCCTGGGGTTGTGCCCGCAACCAAGGTACATGCCCTTGACCGGAATCGAACCTGGGACCCTTCAGTCCGCAGGCCGACGCTCTATCCACTGAGCGAAACCGGTTAGGGCTCAAGTCAATTCTTTAGTCTACGTGTATTCCAAATATCGCATTGGGCGTGCTGACATTAAAATTTTGTTCTTTATCTCAACTTTAACACATTTTGCTAAATTGGGCAACTGTAACTCTCTGTAGGTTAGGAAGAGACAGAGTAAAGAGGGGGCTCTCAAATATTTTTGAAGTGTTGGGAGCCTGGCTGTAGGCTCTGTCCTCCTTGAGATAACTGTTGGGCAGCGTAGAGATGTCTTAAGTGGGGAAAGAAAGGCCTGCTGGAAGGGGTCAGGACTGGAAAGGCGCAGAGCATGTTAGAATGAAAGGCTGTCCTTTTGGGGAACTTCTAATGCTCAACAGCAATAATTAAATAATTAAAGCCTCGAAGGCTATCAATAACCACCTTATCAGAATGAAAGAGGCAAAGTAACCGAGGGACCAACACAAGGAGATCAAATGACCAGACTCCTATCTGACAGATAATGAGGTTCCAGAGTGGCGATTGAAATTATAAATCACCAAATTGTAAAACAAACCCTCACATGAGAGAAAAGTCACTTCTGAGATGGCTTAAAGTGATACATCTTCTGGTAGGTCCGCCAACGAAAATACTAATGACAGAAAAGCAAATTGACCTAGAGGTTTTTCCACAGTTATAAGAGAAGAAATTTAAAAATAGTTTAGAACATCTTTCATCATAGTTTTCTAGACCTGAAAGTAATCTTGGAGACCATCCAATTTAAGTCCCCCACACTGTAGGTCAGAAAATGAACTCTACTACACTCACTTGGGCGTAAGTGACTTATCGAAAAATATTCTCAAAATGCAAAACTTGTTTCCTATTCAAAGTAGTTGTCAAATGTAAAAGGCACAGATATTTATAAATAAAAATTATAACAATATAAAAATACGCATGAAGATGTAAAGTACAGCACAGGGAAGACAGTCAATAACATTGTACTGACTATGCAAGGTACCAGGTGGGTACTGGAATTATTGTGGTGATCACTTCACGTGATGTACGAATGTCTAATCACTTGCTGTACACCCGAAATTAATAAAATACTGTATGTCAACTGTAATTGAAAAGTTAAAAATATTATAACAAAGCACCAACATTTTAGCTTCAAACTAAAGGCAAGATTTATTTGCTTGGCAATAATGAAGATTCACTATGATTTTATGGAAGATGCTCCAAATTGGAGGTCAGGGTCAGGGTCTAGCCCTACTTCTGCATCTCAAGTTCTATGCTGTGATGACAGGGTTAAGTAGATCAGGAGTTCCATACTTGGAAACATGTCAGAATCACCTGGGAGCTTGAAACCACAGATTTCCAGGTCCTTACAAGATTCAGATTGAGTAATTCTGGAATCTGTATTTTTTAAAGCCCATGGGGTAAGACTGATGAACAACCTGTTGGGAAACCGGACTGTAAGCTCCATGAGAACAGAAACCCAATACTGTTGCTATCTGTACAGTGACTGCTAGGTAGAGCTCAGAAATGCTTGTTGAATGAATATGGAAAAATAACTGCCTCTCTGGGTCTTGGTTTCCTGGTCTTTAAATGATATTTCCAGTGATAACATTCTGAGGATAGTCTTGGCAAGTTTGTTCAAAATGCCAATGAAATCTTTGTGCGTAAATGAGCTAGAATGGATTCAGTTGTCTGCAACTAAGAAGTTTACACACACACACACACACA